GCAAAGCAACGCAACCTCCATGTTAGTGTGGATTTTTCAGTGTATGAGATGTTCATTTTCGGAGGTGAAAGTAAACCTGTTATGCCCGATCCAGAGGTCGGAGGTCATAGGCAAGCGGGTGAGGCGCATATGAGCAATGGCTTGAGTGTAGTAAAAGCAGAGATGGATGATCCGAACTACGCTCGGATCCCCTGCATTGTGTATACAGTATCACTAATGGAGGACTGACGCCCGTCACATAATCCAACCACATCGAGAACAACTACGCATGGTGGTACTGGTAGTGGTGATGATTCCACATGGCATCAATTGGGTCCACTCAATGCTCCCGTCAGAGCCTCCAATAGTCCTTTCATTGGTGATGAAAGCCAGGAATCTCTCTACCCTGATCTGAAAGGAAGCCTTCGAGATAACTATTGAATTAAGGCTTAATTTTTGGTATTATCTTCTATACACCCCACTTCCTCACCTAAACCAAATGTACTGGCATCGGAATGTGACTAGTGCTGCCGCAAGGACTCCAGATGCCAGCCTCGTTCGGCCAATCAACGCACGACTCCTCTGGTACCCACTCTTACATTTCATCAGCCCTTGAGTGGTTCTACCCCAGTTGGGTGTGACGATGGCGCCTTCGATAGCAAGGTGTAGTAATTGCTGTGTGAAAATTCACTTCACTTGTGCAAGCCGCCCAGTCACATTTTCTTCGCCTGTCTAATTATGGCTCATCTCATTGTGCTCTGATTTGTGCCAACCACAGAGGGCGTGGTGGTAAGTGGTCAAAGTATAACGATCTCACCAGCATTTCCTGAGGCAAGACCACACTTAAACCCATAATCTTCTTCCCCTGCTTTTGCTACTACATTGGATCAGGTTTCGACTCGCTTCATGCATTTTCCTATTTTTCGTCTAGTAGATTATGTAAGTTGCGGCAGTCTGGACTTTTAAATGAAGCTGCAATCAGTGTGGCAGTCCTTATCTGATACGCACTGAAGGTGGATAATAAAATAAATGCGGACTGAATTCTGCTTGCTGTCCGGTCACATCTTTCCTTACTACGGATTCACAGGTGCCATCAGTGTGCCCACTCTACTTGACCATTTGGCTTGCCCATGAAAAGTGCCAAGTAGAATGGCAAACTGTGGTGCGCTTTGCACTCCCTTAACCTTTAGCACAAATGCTTATTCACTCCGACTACCCACCACTACGCCTTGTGTGATTGGCACAGGTGAGAGCACAATGAGATACACCATAATCATCAAACAGACGAAAACGTGGATGCAAATGTGATTTGGAGGATCGCTCAACTACGATGGATTCCAGTAACACAATTACCGTACTCCACTTTTTGAAGACGCCTTTTGACACACCCAAATAAGATGGATCTGCACCTGTTTGCCACCACAGGTGAGTCGAATACTGGAGACTCTCAGGCACAAGCAAGGAGTGGATTTAATTGATGGCTAGTGGAAACATCACCACTACTAACACCTCATGCGTAGTGGTTGCCCATGTGGTTAGACCATTTGACAGACGTCAGTCCTTCATTGGTGATACTGTATGCACTATGCGGGGAATCCTACAGTAGCTCATTACATCCTTTCTGCTTTTACCAAATGTAAACCACTGTGCGTCCTTGCTTCA